TAAACACATAAGCCTATGAGTTCTGGGTTTGTGATTTAATATAAAAAATAAATAAAATTATTATTAATAAGGAAAACAAAATAAAAATTTGATTTGTGATTTAAACTTAAAAATAAATTTGAAAAATCTGTAGGAATAAAGGACATAATTAAATAAATATTCTAAATCTCTAAGGAAGAAGGATATTATTTTTGAAATTAATGATTAATGCTATAAGCTTCTGGGTTATTATTCGTGGTCTGAAATTAATGATTGCTTTTGAATGGTTTTCAAAAATAAAATTACCTAAATTAGACGTAATTGCCTCTTGATTGAAACTCAATCTAGACGTGATTGGTGACGTGTCAGGTGTTGACACGTGTTGATACGTGTCACATTTTTAAACTCAGAAGTCTCTGAGTTCTGCATTTTTGATTTAATATACAAAATAAATCAAGATTTGATGTGTGATTTAAATTAAAAAAATAAATTTTTTTATTTTTATTATAAATTTTTTTTGGTTTGTTATTTAAATTAAAAGTAACATTTTTCCCTTATTATTAATAAGAAAAACAAAATAAAAATTTGATTTGTGATTTAAACTCAAAAATCAATTTGAAAAATCTGTACTAATAAAGGAAATAATTAAATAAATATTCTAAATCTCTAAGGAAGAAGGATTACCTGATTTAAATTTAAATTATGTTTGTGAGAAATAAAATATATCAAATGAGATGTCATTGCGTAGATCTCGAAAAGTTATGTGGAATCAAAAAACTAATTACCTGATTTGGATACCCGAGTCAAAAGTTATGGCCTTCAAAAGTTTTATGATTAAATTACATTTTTTTTGGAAAAAAAATGACACGTGTCAACACCTGATGAGTGACGCCCAAAAGGGGCATTACATTGTGCAATAGATCCGTAATTATTTCCAAAACTGTAATAAATGCGTAATTATTTTATTAAAAAGCATTAAATTAATTTTTTTGCTATGGTTGTTGACACTCTCACAAGAATAATGCTTAAAGAGAATTTATGATTAAGAAGACAAGAAAAATGCAAATAGAATGATAAAAAATGAGTAATAATGATCAAGAAGTGTGTCCCATCAAGGGGAACAATAATCTCTATTTATAGAGGGCCCCATGGCTGTTTTTACACTCATTTTCGTAAACTAGCCATTTTATAGCCGTTATTTTGGCTTCTGCCCAGTAGGTAATCGATTACCATGTCTTAGGTAAGCGATTACCAACCTGTTGACAGGTTGGATTCCACCCTAAAATGGTTTTCTCAATTTAAATCAGTTTCAAATACTTCTTAAACATTTGATAAACATTGAAAACTATATTTTTATGCTAGGAATGTATGTGAATGTCAACCGATGATTTAATGCATGTATTTTGAAAAATACTTTGAGCTTCGTTCATATAAGGAATCAATTACCCTTTCAAATAATCCAAGTCCTAGATATGTTACTTTGAGATTGCTTGGACTTAGAGTGTTCTCTTGAAGCTTGAGTTTTGATCTTGTTTAGACATTTTTTTTATGGTTGCACTTTGAACCTTTCTTTCCATACTTGTTTGTTATCATCAAAATCATTGAATTTTTATATTCTTTTCGTAGAGATCATTGGTTCCACAGAGTACACTCAGCTTTGGGGTTTCTTAAATATACTATATTTGTTGCTGATTGATTAAAATTTTCCTTGAATTTTTATGCAGGGGAAGCCCCCTGTTTGACAAGATTTTGTCGGTATAATCACCTTGCTTCTAATCAATTCAACTATTAGTTTCATTGAGGAGAACAATATCGGTAATGCTGCACCAGCTCTTATGGCTTTTTGCAATTTAACCGTGTTTTGATTTTGTAAACTATTTTCTCTTACTTTGATCTACAATCCTAGTTATTCATCTTAATTTACATTTATTTTTCTTTTGCAATTATAACGTCCACATGTTCTGCTATGCACCGCTTTTTGGAAATGCAAATAACATTATGTAATTTTTATGGGAAAAATGTGTATAATTTTGAAGGATGTAAAGTTGTGTCATTTTAAGAGAGAGAAAGAGATAGATAAAGGAGGAGAGAGAGTTGACAAAAAAAAATAAAGTTGTGGGTCCCACCTCTTTGTGAGAGTGAAAGGATGTAAGTTGTGTAATTTAAAAGTATAGACACTTTTCCCAATTTTTATACTTTATCATCAAATCAAGTTCAACCTCTTATTATTCTTACATTACTTTCTTCATTTATTTTTTCTTACTTTATATATGCAAATACCTCTTATTTTTTGAAGTTCCTATGATGGTTATTGATTAATTCTTATTATTTTTTTGTGTGCAGGTGCTACTTGGTGATCCTTTCTTCCGTGAAAGGGAGGATCATAGAGCCATTGTAAGAGACTGAGATATCTCTTTCCCCCTTTTTCATATCTAGTTGGAAACCATTGCTTATTTATTACTATCTTTCTCTTAAAGCTTTTATGAAATGAGTAATTTAATTTTTTTTTTGGAGTGGTGAAGTCTTGTTAATTTTGAATATATTCTGTTGATGGACAGCACACCTCTTTGATAGGTGAAATGGATCGACGAAACTGTTGCATGTCCAGGTTGTTTATCAAGTTTCCTTTTCAATCTATTTGACAGGTGAAGTTCAAAATTGCATCATGTCACTGTTTTCTGAATGAGAGCAAAGTAGCTCTAGTTGAGGTTTGTTTGTTCTCTTCCTCTCTACATTCTACAGACCAGACACAAGAGAGTGCATGCCCATTAACAAAAAATTTCTTGTTGGTATATTTTGAGGTGAAGGAATGTCAGTTCTCCATTGGTATATTCTAGGATCATTTGATACCAGTGTCAAATTTGAAATTTGACACTTATCTGAGAGCCCCTAGATAAAAAAAGATCAACGACTCTGATTTGTAAGCATGTGACACCATTGATCTTTTTTGATCTAACGACTCTCAGATGAGATGTCAAATTTCAAATTTGACACTGATGTCAAAGGATCTACCCCTCTCTCTATATATATATATATATATATAGAGGTAGGATCCTTTGATACCGATGTCAAATTTAAAGTTTGACACCTCATCTGAGAGCTGTTAGATCAAAAAAGATCAATGGTGTCACATGCTTACAAATCAGAGTCGTTAATCTTTTTTGATCTAACCGCTCTTAGATGAGGTGCCAAACTTTAAATTTGACACCGGTGTCAAAGGATTCTGCCTCATATATATATATATATATATATATATATATATATATATATATATATATATATATTATAGTGATCCGGCTAGTGTGAAATGAGGCGCAAACAAACACTGACTGCTACTCAAATGTGGAGAAGAACAGGATTTGTAACTGTGGCGGTGCCTATTAATGAGTGGTGGATTATCCAAAGCGGGAACAAGAAGATTCTGCAACTATTAACAATGAATCAAAGAGTGAAATCAAATATTCAACATCACGTTTAGTTCCTGAGTAATTTGAGTTACAATTGTCATTAGGTTGCAGGTTATTATATAAAGACATTCAGGGGATCACATTCAGCCTTGAAGCGCATTGGTGATACTCTGGTTGACCGACCACATATTTTTGTTTCTTGGAGCTTTAGATGTATTTTTCCCCTTTTACTAACAAATATCTGTATATTTTTTCATTCTAGAAAATAACCAAAGGAATATAAGTTTGTATAATTTCGAAACTTTAAAATTCCAACTTTTTTAATATTCTCTGTTTTTTTTTGGGTTATGCATGCAAAGTCATACACATCATCTTTATTGTTTTTTATATAGCTGCAAAAATTGAGGAGGTGATTTTATTAAATCATGGAATAGGCATGATTATTGGTGAAACTGCTATTATTGAAAACAGAGTTTTTTTTTTTTTTTTTTGGTAAACAAAAATAGAGTTTTATTAATGCAAGTGAGTGTTTCTCTTAATTAATTTCTTTTATGATTATTTTTAGCTAATTCTCAGGCAAACTTTACTTATCTCAAGTAAATTATTGTTTTTATAATTTCTTAAATAATGTCATATTTTTTTATTATTCTTAAATATGTTTTTATTTCTTTTATAATATTTTATAAAAGAATAATGCTACCACACTCATGACAGCAGTAGCAAAGCGAGAAGAAAAATGTGGCTAAAAAAATGTCACGTCAAGATTAGCCACGTTTGACAAAATTGTGGTAGTTTGGTTTAGTCACGTTTTTGGATAGTTTTAGCCACGTTTTTGAATGTGGCTAAAAGACATTTTTTTTGTAGTGAAGTCAAGTTTTAAATTAAGTTGATATTTAATTTATATTTTCTCCTATTCATATTTATGTTTCCATAATTCTTTTTTACTTATTTATTTAGTTTTTAAGATCTTTTCAGAAATCCTTGCTGCCTTATTGCCATATTTTGTGAGTAGCAAGCATATACAAAACAAAATAATGGCTGATACGATTTTTTAACTAAGTAATTAATTTTTATCTAATTTAAACGTTCAAGGATATATTAAAAATACTGTAAATATCTAACTGAAATAGTAAAAAAAAAAGTATTTTGGCTTATAATAGTTTTTTTAAGGTAATAAATTTTATCAATATGATTTAAAAAAATTAAATAAAAAATTCTTACTTATTTAATATTTAATCAAATTTGATTAATAAAATAAATAAGCATTTAAATTTTAAATTTGAAAATAGTTACATAAAATGTTGTTGATGAAAAACATTTCTGATAATCCAAGTTACAAGTAGTTAAAAGAGAATATTGTGTTTACTACAAAAAATAAAAAAATAAAAGAAGAGAATATTGTAAATCGATAAATAGAAATCCATGTATACACCCTTATTTATTACATAAAACACATCTAAGAACAAAGGACCGTGGTTGCTATTCTGATGTGAAAACTTAAAAAAAAAAAAAAAAAAGGACCGTGGTTGCTATTGTGATGTGAAAACTAAATAGAACAACAGCATTTAAGATATGCTATAGAATAAACAAAAGTTTGCGACATATATCAACAAGCTATGGAACAAAGTACATGGGATTAGGGAGCTTAAATGTACGGTTTCCAGAAGAGTTTCCTTGGAGATCACTCCATTGGTCCCCAACGTTACCCCATATCCTGTAACCTTCATCTTGTAATTGCTTCCTTATATCGGACTTATACTTTACTGCACTTTGTCCTTTATATGCTGCAGTCCTGTTAAATAATCAAAGAATATAATTTTATTTTTTTTAACTTTTCTGTAAAAAGAGGGATATATATGATTCGATTAATTTAGCCATTAGCATAGATCTAATGCTACTTTCGAATGATAATAGCCACGATTGTACAAGTGCTTAAAGTGAGCTAAAAACAAAATGCAGTGATGTGTCTACATGCTGGCCTTTGTGGATGTTGTTCGATTATGGTGGATTATAGTTCGTATACATAAAATAGCATAGGCAGAGAGTCAAAGAAAGTGTGTGCAGGCATAATGACAAATAAAAGAAGGAAAATAATAATTTCATGTTGAATTAGATTATTATTTTATGCACTAGATACAAATTGAACGTGGAATCCATTTTAATTTTTTCTTTCTTTCTCTTATTCTCCTTTTTCTCTTTTTCATTTGTGTGTGTAGGATATTGTGTTCTCTGATGTTAAATGAGAAAAATAATTTCCATAAAAAAATTAATATTTTAAGTGAGGTGAGTATACATGCGAGGCTCATTACACGGTCCAGAACAAATATTAACATCAAGATCATGGGCGGACCCACGTTGTGCAATTGTTTGGACTTGCAGACACAAAGTTTTAGAGGAAAAAAATTAACTACATCGTCTATAATAGAGTTTAATTACTTTGATAATTGTGGAATTTAAAGCAGGGTTTAATTACTTTGATACTTTTGGTACAATGCATATAATGGGCCTTGGAAAATAAAAAACTAAAACGATTTATAAGATAATGAGAGACCTGAAATTGTGAAATTATTATTATTCTTAACTATAGATTTCAGAATTTTGAGTATTGAGAATGGAAAAAATAACAAAAGAAAAATTACCTTTATATGACTCTTGATTACAATTTTTTTATATTAGGTTAAAGTTCTTTTTTTCTTATTTATATTCTTTTATTTTTAATGTATTTAAAACTTTCTTTTAAAATTTTTTTTGGAGATAGCCTCGCAACTAAATATGTAGACATAAATAAAAATTTTTAGGTCCACCGACTTGCCGATATAAGGGACTTCAAATCAATTATTTTAAAATAAGAATTATTGGGTAATACCAGTTGACTGCAACTTAATTGGTATCTTTTCTTGTCCTTGCGGAGAAAGGGTGGAGCTACGTTGCTTCCAGGGAGGGCTATGCCCCTCGAAATTTTTGAAACATTTTCATTTTACACGTAATATTTTTGGAAATTTTTTTTCTTGAACATTACGCTCAATATATAATGGTATTTTTCCTCTTTGGTCCCCTAAATAAAATGAATTAGCTGAATTCCTGTTACCAATAGATGTCGTTATCTGGTGGGGGTTGATTTCCCACATCCCAATGTCTCATTTCCTTCTAGGTGGATCTCCATAAAACAAATAAAAAATTATAGGATTTATCGCTTTTAAACTAAGAAATATTGTTAACAAATAATTAAACTGTTTTTACTTTTTGGTTCGCTTTCTGCATTTTGCATCATCTAATAAAAATTTGTAATCTTATCTACATATTTTTGTTCTTAACTACACGGTTTAGTTGTCTGTCTTTCTCTGCTGGTGTATCCTAATTAAAAACAAAGAAAAACCATTATCAACAAACGTTTGATCGAAGTTTCATTGTTTTAGTTCTTTTTTGTTTTTGAAAAAGCCAATACAAATTCATATAAATGTATAAAACTATTCATAAGATATCTTAGTTTTCGAATGACTTTTTCCAAAAGACAAAAGTGCATGTATTTTTAAAAAATATAAATGGATCCATATATTTATTGGTCATACCTCATAATGAGTCGCTCGTAGCCAATGAACCCTTGATTGTGCAAGTTGTCATTGGTAACTTGACCAAGTGTCTCTTCATCTCTTCCGGTAAGTACGATTACCTTAAATCCTTTATCTCTCAACTTGTTAAATAGCCTTAATACAGGAGGAATTGCTGTGCACCATCCTTTCATTGCCCATGCCCTAAACGCTGCTGGATCATATGGGTCGCACCTATTTATTTCGAATTTTACAAATTATAATATAACTCAAGTTTTCATTTGGTTAATCGAAGTACAACAATGAACTATTATTATTAGTATTATTAATAGGAAGGATCAATTTATACAAGTGGAAGAATAAATCTTTTATACCAATTTTTAACCGCTGATTTTACTTGTATCTAAGGTTCACCTGAACTCTATTTATATAACCTACAATAATTAAATACTAAATAAAATTAAAATTTAATAATGAATATTGTAATAGTTCTTATTTTTAGAGCTGTGTAAGTCTTACTTTTATAATAAACTAATACTATAGTAGACTTAGCGAGAAAATAAACAGATCATTATATATATATATATATTATAGGGTTTACATTTCTGCAGCTACTGTAAGCGCAACAATCAAATACTTGCCATATATATATATATTTGAAAGCATTAAATACAGGAAATCATAACCATACAAAGGATGAAAGCATTAAATGCGGGAAATCATAGCCATACAAAGGATGAAAACATTAAATGTGGGAAATCATAAAAATACACTTGTTGTTGTTGTACATAAAGTGGCGGCAGAAATGGTTTTATCATATACACACACACACACACACACATATATATATATATATATATATATATATATGGGTTTGCTTTTTCTACAGTCAATGTAGATAACTTATCTACATTGAGCCCAAAACGACGTCGTTTTGAGGCGGAAATCAAGGTATTTTTGTAATTATAAGTTATTTCAGGGTTATAATAGTCTTTTTCATTATAATTTTTTAATTTTTCAACCCAAAACGACGTCATTTTAGCAGCGAATGTAAATAACTTATCTACATTCACTTTAGAAATATTAAAGCATATATATATATATATATATATATATATATATATATATATATATATATATATATATATATATAAGGGAGGGGTTATATTTACAACCCAAATAGTTTACAAACTCTTACAATCATATCTCAACTGTTGATTTTCGCCAATCAATGGTTGTCATTTATTATGAATTAATAATTAATTAATGTATTTAAAAATTAATAATAATTAATTAATTAATTTGATTTGCGAAAATCTTAACCATTGATTGACGGAAATCAACGGTTAAGATATGGTTGTAAGAAGTTGTAAACGAAAATAGATTGTAAATATAATCTTCCCCAATAATATATATATATATATATATATATATATTTCTACAGCTATTTTACGTACAACAATTAATCTTGATCATTGATTTCTCAAATTTAATATTTTCACCCACCTTTGTATGATTATGATTTCTCAAATATACGGGAAAAGTGTTTGTCATCTTGAATAACACAACTTTGTGTCATTTTAGATGAAATGACATCATTTTAGTGTATAATATGTGACTTTTTATATTCTCTCTTTCACTTTCTCTTTTCCTAATTTTATGGATGAGAGAAAATGTAAAAAATCACTAAATATACACAAAAACCATGACGTTTCATCTAACGACACAAAGTTGTGTCATTTAAAAAAGATAATTTTTTTCTCACACATATATATAAGGAAAAAATATCTAATGTTACTTCAAACAATTTTGTTTAATGTTCACTGAAACGACGTCGTTTTGGGGTTAAAAAATTAAAATGAAAATGACTATTATAACCTTGAAATAAGTTAAAATTAAAAATACACCATATATTTCGCCCAAAAATGACATCATTTTGGTGAACATTAGACAAAGTTTTCTAAAGTAACTTTAGAAAAAACGAACCCCATATATATGTGTATGTGGAGGGATTTTTTGACTCTAGAATAAGACTTACAAGTTTTACTCCTCATCATCGTTGATTTTCGTCCATATAATGATTATTATTTATTTGAAATTAATAATTAATTAATTGGCATAGATAACCATTAAATGGACAAAAATCAATGTCCGAGATGGTGAGTAAGACTTGTAAGTCTTACTCTAGAGTCAAAATATCCCTCCCCTATATATATATATTTAGGGTTCAATTTTTTTGCAGTTGCTTTATGTGCAATAGTGACAAATTTTCCATATATATAGGTTAAAGCATTTAATGCGTGGGGAATCATAACCATACAAAAGGTAAAAGTATTAAATATGGAAAATCATAACTATAAACTTGTCATTGTTGCACGTACAACAACTTTAAATATGATTTTACCATATATATATATATATATGGGGAGGGTTACATTTACAAACTTTTTGTTTACAAATTCTTATAAACTACACTATGTATTTCCAGAAGTATACTAGGTTACACTATGTACTTCCGAGAGTACATAGTGTAATTTGTTAAAAAAAATTGTAAACGGATCCTTTCCCTATATATAGGGGAGATATCATTTTACACAAGTGTAAGTTAGACTTTCTATCTTGGCTGTTGATCCCATTTATATCTAAGGGCTCTTTTTTTTTTTGGAAATACATATCTAAGGGCTCTAACTTTATAGTAATGTGAGCAATTGGATATATGTGGATCAATACTCAAGATTGGGTGTAAGAATATAGGGGATGGTTCTTTTGACTCCACAGTAAGACTTTTAAGTCTTACTCCCCATCTCAGCCGTTGATGGACGGAAATCAACGATTGTCATTTATAGTGTACTTAATAATTAATTAATTAATATAACTTTTTAAACTATAACCGTTGGATGGACGGAAATCAATGGCTAGGATGAGGAGTAAGACTTATAAGTCTTACTCTGGAGTCAAATGATCTCTCTTCATATATATGTATAGGATATTCTTTCACTGGTGTGAGAATAAAAAATTATCTTACACCAAATCTTGATTATTAATGTTCTTGCATCCAACGACTCAAATATCCAATAAATCAGAACCGTTATATAAATGAGATCAACGATCAAGATTGAGAGTGTAACTTATACCGACATCAAATGATCCTCAGTACCCTATATATAGATGCAAGCATATCAATGACCAAGATTTGATATATGACTTATTATTCTTACACCGGTATAAAAATATCATGCCCCATATATATATAGAGGAAGGATCCGTTTACAAATATTTTTTATAAATTACGCTAAGTATGACTGGTCATACACTATACTCTTGATTAAAGTATGACCAGTCATACTTAGTGTAGTTTGTAAATATAACATTTTCAATATATATATATATAGGGGCAGGATCATTTGACACCGATGTCAAATTTTGAAATTTGACACCAAATCTAAACATTTGATTTTCGTCATTCAACGGTTATTATTTATTGGGAATCAAACTTATTAATTAATATTAATTCCCAACAAATAATAACCGTTGATTGACGAAAATCAACGGTTAGAATTTTGCGTCAAATTTCAAAATTTGACACTGGTGTCAAATGATCCTATCCTCTATATATATATATATATATATATATATACACGCGTAATTTGTTTGTAAAACAACGTACCCATATTTCTTGCCTTTGTAATAATAGATGTTGGAGATGCAAGTGTCATCAACATCTAAAATCCAAGCATCCATGCCATCACCAGCGAGGGGTATACCATTCACAAAGCTCAAAATCTGTTCCATTATCAATTCCAAGTCCTGTTCGTACTGCCCGTGGATCATGTATTCCTCAACATATTGCAAACACTGAATTGGAAGTGTACGCCATGGAAGCACATTGTTTGCTTCCACCGCCATTCTCCAACTCAAGCAGAAGCTTCCATTAATGGAGTTAGTGGGCTCGTTAGTGCTTTGGTGCTGCCTTATGGACATCGCCTTGGACAACACTGCCAAAAAGAAAAGTACCAAAAGCTCTTTTGCTCGTTGTGCCATCCTTTAATTATTTATGCAATCACTTAATTTTGTCCTAAATATTCAAAAATAAAAAAAATATTAAATAAAATTATGAGCGCATATTTTGTTTTTTTATGTTTTTAGTTGATAGCAAAAATTAATAATAAAAATAATTAAAGAAAAAGAAATTAATAAAAAAGGTTGAATTGAAGTCCCATTTAACGTTAGAAGCCATACGTGTTCACAATTCACAAACAGTTGATCCTTAAATTTATGAAAAACACAAAGGAAACTGTTAACTATGAATGGAATTTGAGTTTGTAGTGCATATTTGAAAGAATTAATGCTTTTAAAGAAGAAATAAGCTATATGTATGTTTTGTTGCTTTTGCGTTTAGTTCAAGTACTTTATTATTTTATCCGAAACAAAAGGAGAGACATGAATTCTTTAGGTGAAATAAAAGTGCATCAAAAGGGTAGTATATAAAAGAAAATGATCACCAATAGTGCTATACTTTTTCAAATGATTGCTGAGAGAATTAAAGTTTGGCGCCATTTTATATTCAGTGTATTTTTAATTTGTATGTGTGTTTTTGTTGTTCTTTGGATGATTATTTTGTGACAAAATATTCACAACAAAAATGAACATATTTCATTAGGAAATTAGAATGGTATAAGTATTAACTAAATAACTACTTTTCATTATCTGTCAAGAAAATATACAATTGATTAGAATCTAATTAAAAAATGTCAGACTTCAAGTGAACCGTCAAATTAATGTTTCTCACTAATAATAAAAACTGAAAATTTATTTTTCAAATCATATTATTCTTCTTCTTTTTTTTGTAGGAAATTCAAAACATAATATTCTAATCCTGAAAATTTACTCTTTTTTTTGGCATGAAATAGTAATAAGAATAGAATACTGTCAAACTACTAATAAGGACACTAGCATCAAGCCAGGGTCTCATAGAGGCAGGCAAAAACTAACTCAATGCATTACCTTCAAAAATTTCTGCATATATATGGCTGCTCAATCGGCACATTGACATCAGAATATTTGTTTGGAATACATAACCATTAAACAAAAATGCCAGTACAAGTTGAAATTTGAACTAATACAAAAGTCTATACATCCCAATCTTTTCAACCCGCTGAACTAGCCCCGTATTGACTAATAAAATCTTACATAGTGGAACACGTCAAGAATAAGAAATTTTCCTTAATTTATTGTTTTATCTATTATATAACTAATAAAAACATACTTTGATGTGAAACAAATTGATCATTTAGATGAAATTAAAATAAATAAGTAAAACGGCTATAACGCATTAGAGAATTTGTTAGATAGGTATTATCTACTAGATACTCAATTTAACAGTTATCCTATGTAAAGATATTTATTTTAGAATAAATATGCTTCTAATATGACAAACATAATTTATGCATGTTGAATGGAATGACTAATACATATCTTTATATTGGAACCAAAAGTAAAATTAGCTACAAGACTCAAGTAGTAAATTAATGAAAGTGGGAAGATGGCAAACGAAATGCTTGCTTCCATATCAAGACGCACATAACGAGAATGAAATGCGTAACTCTATGCGCGAAATGCTACAAAAGGCACTTACTTAGGAGGCGCTACGAAAATTGTGTCTATTCAGCGTTGATATCAATGAAGTGGCTATTTATAATGAACTAAAGTAGGTAAAGAACTCAAAAAAGATATAAAAGGAAAAAAAAAATAAAACAAAAAACTAAAGATTATGGAAGCCACTGGTTCTCTTTCATACAACACTCTCATGTAAGCATATTGAATCGGTGGGGTTGGCGTCAGAGAGCAAAACTACTACGTAAGGTGGAGATTGCCCAAACATGTTATAGAGCATAAATACATGGCGATTTCGGTCCCCATGACCCACCACCATGGGAAAGGTTCAACCGCCAAGTTTATTGGGAAGAATTTAAGCTCAAATTATAGTGGAAATAGCGTCAGAGCACTCATGGCAACGGTACTAGTGGGTGCAACACCCCACTACCGACACCGCCTGCCATTTCCTGTTACTCACTACTACGTACTTACATCAATATACCCATGTTGATGTACGAACCACGAATTGAAAACGAAAGGAAATACTCCTCGGTTTACTTTTTATTTTTATTTTTACTATTGTTTATCCTAGTAGTTCACATGTTAATGGAGAATCTTAGGGGTTGATAGTGTCTATGGAGAAGACGACGGTGGATATCTTGATATTATTGTGCATAATGGAGTTAGAGAGGCAAAGGGGTGGGGGGAGCGGCTAATGTGTATGCAGAGTGATAGCGTAGAGACTATGATGTGTATGCAGAGTGATAGCGAAGAGATTAGGATTCTCAAATGCGCGCTGTGAGGTGAAACCTCTCTTTATAGAGGATTCCTTACCTATGATAGGTTTTGGGTTGGACCCAATGTGAAGGCCCCTAACAATTGACCAATGTGGGACCCAATGTGTCGTCCCATAATAGTTATCGCCTAGTCTGATAGTCCAAGTGTTTGAGTTGTTGGGCAAAAGTGTGTGGCTCGACTACTCCGCATTCCAAGAAGGGGTGACTGTTGGCGTTCTGAATCGACTGTCACGTGTCCTTGTCGTGCTTTGCTGACTTGGAGTTTGTATTTGCTCTCCTCAATGGTAGCTCATAGTGGGCTTATGGAGGCCGTCAGTTGACGGCCTCGACAACAAATCGTTCTAGTGCGTTTGCCGTTGGAAGGGGTTCGCCTTATGGCATTCCTGAAGACATGTTGCAAGGTGGACATTTTGCTAGTCGGGTTATGTTGATGTTGTGCTCGATTTTCCATTCTCCTTGTGGCTAGGGACGACAGTGTTTGTATTGGTGGCTATGTTATCCACATGGGGCTTTTCCTGCTGGCTGATCTTGTGTTGAGCGTTGTATAACCACCATCACCTTTCGCCCCTTATGATGGCTTACGTCAGAGGCGTTTCATGTCACTTCATTTCCTGTAGTAGGGACACTTCACGTCACTTGATTGTCCCCTATGGAAGTACAAAATTGCCATTGCCTTTTGACTCTTCATTTTTGCGACTGTTGTTCATATGTATATATGTCGTTTCTTTTGCTGCATTCTGTTACAGTGATTGCTATAGCACTTGTGTAGCATATTTCACGTGCTGAGATTTGTTACTTTTCTACTGACTATAACACTTCTGCATCATTTTTACTTTAGGAAATAAACACTCAACCAGTTATATGCTCTAGCATCAAAATCAAGGGTATTTTCCATGTTTTCCACACTTTATCATGTTAAAGCACCTAAACATGAATATGCAATATTAAGCTCAATTACTATGCATTTGAGATAACCTATATGGAATTTGTTCAACTAATTCATCATTGTACACTATAAATTAACTTTCTTTTGGAAAGTTAACATTGATCTCCATTGTCTTCGCAACGGCAACAAGTTAAAGAACTCTTCACTTGTATGGTCAAATCTCTCCAAGCCCCTCTAACGATGATGCACACAATCTTTGCAATAGCAATGAAGAACTCTTCTTCTTCTTGACTCCCTGTGTTTTCTAGATGATGAATAAGGTAGGAGATCAAGTGTTTAGGTGAGAGAAAGAGAGAAGAAGGCACATAGGCAAATGGAAAGGGTGAGAGGCACTACAAGCCATTGGCTCATGTGATGGCCCAAGTGCACCCACTAGCTCACTTCTTGACCCATCAGGCTCATCGGCCGACCTATTGGGTCCATGGGTTGACAGGCCCATAGGCTTTTAGCCCAAGGCCCGAAAGCATAATTCTCTTTCTCAATGTTATCTCATAAGATCCATATGCCAATCAAGGCCTTAAACTCATTGTAGGTGTTGCTATTGAGGTGATTTTGATGTGTGGCCCATTGTGCCATATGACAAATACAAGTTTGTGCCTTCCTAAACTCTTTTTCTGACCTAACTTATCTATTGACCACACAGAGCACTAACAATGCTTTGTGACTCCAGAATTAATTGAATTGATCATTTTGATCTACCTTACTAATTTAGTTATCGTGGGGGTCTATCCTTTCATCTCATTCATCTCTCTTTTAGTCAATAGCAAGAAAATAATATCAACTATTTGGTGACTAAACGTAGCTTTGCCAAGACAGGGCATCTTCCTCCATAAACTCTAAGATATATCCATGAACTCTTCATGATCACTTCTATGCGTAGATTCCTGAGTTTCATGGAAGTAATCCAAGTCCTATCGATCTTGTGGATAACAAATCCCTTATAAGGGATGATAAATTCTTTCAGCTTGTTCATCTACACTCGTGTCATCATATCATACCTGTAAGTACATTGTTCTTTCCATTTTTCAGGAGGATAGAGTTGTACCCCAAAGTATGATCCTTATACATAGATCATGCTTGTGTGTATGTTTGAGGATGATTCACTCAACTAAACAATGAAAGATATTACATATCTAATGATACTCCTATAATTTCCTTGTGGTGTTTATCAACGGTTAGTTCAATGCGATTCGATTTATTACAAATCCACCCATGACATAGCTTAAGGCATCTCTATGCTTGTACTCATGAGATCTATATCTTACATCTCCATGTAAGTAACCTTCCATCATGGTAGTCTGATTGAGACGACCAATGCCATATATTGGTGACTTTAAAGTATGAAATTTTTTGGAGGATTCTTATGCAGTGAGATTGAGTCCTTACGATCATAATCTCATCATGGATCCTCTAGATACACATGTACTTTCCAAAGGCCTTTACCTATTTAGTATACTAGGAAGAAACAAATAATACGAAATAAATAATGTGCTTTAAATTAATTAACATCAAATATCATATAATGCTTTGTAGTATAAAAGTATCATCTGACTCTAAGATTGTCTCTAGGACACTTACATTTACTAACATAATGGACAACCTAATAAACCTTTCATAGCACCCTGATTACGAGTTTGATGCATTTTATAATCACAATCAGAATCTGCTAAATGACACTTGTCCATTATTCCACAAGGACAAAA